CTTACTTAAACAATATAGACAATAATTATCTAACCCTGGGCTAGCTATAGGGGCTTAAATACTAGAAATAGCGCATTGGAACACTTTAAATACTCCTTCCCATATGGGACACAGGTTTTATTTACCTCGATTTATTTACCATTTCGGGCTGGAATACGATATTAAATTGCAGGGATGTTCAATGTATAGACGCCTATAAAAGAGTGTCATATTTTATTATTAACGAACTACCTAAATAAAAGTAAGCATTTTATTGCCGCACACCGAAAACTTTTAATAACCACTTCCGTTTACAACGAAATTAACCTTTTTATTTTCGCAATAAAAACCGTACCGATTATAAAACCCGCAATAGTCGACCTTTTGCCCCGGCAACAAGTAGTAATATAGAAAATTAAACGGTTTTCGTCGGCGATCGCAACTTGTCCTTTAATCAAAAGATTTATCTTGATTTTTGTAAATAATGAGGGTAGTTTATTGCGGTCGGACAAACAGAAACCACCCGTGGCAGCTCTAGGTCTGTTTTATTACGCCCGTTCCGTCTTCCACTATACTGGCAGCATCTCTAGAGGCCATCCTGGCCGCATGTGTTTCACAGACGGCTCGTCGGGGGTTCACCCAAAAAAACACATTTAATTCGTTTTAGATAAATATTATTATAGTAGAAGCATCGATTGCCATTTTGATTTACGGATTTGTTATTGCAATTTTAGTATTTTAAATTCAGTTAGTTGTTCGAAAATTACTTTATCTAGTTATTAATTACTTAATCAAAACATTCAGAAAACAATTTATTATTCAAATAAAAGGGCTTCAAGAAAATTCCCTCTTATTTTTTGTTTTTGGTGGAGGTGATATTCTTTACTCCACCAAATTATAGAAAATTTCGAGTAATGAGTTATATTCAAAGGCTACAATATTGGGTTATATTCAAAGAGTAGACCCCAAAAACTAGAACATATGAATTATATAAAATAGATGGAATTAAACTCATAAAATACAACTCAAGGAATAGATTATATGGAACAATACTCAAGGAATTAATCTCAAGAATGTATGGAATTATAAAGCTCATAGAATGGAACCCAAGGAACATACTACCAGGAATGGAACAGCAGAAATAGAATATATAAAATTAAGCTCATGTAGAGCTCAAGAAATGGAGCTCGTGTAATAGAATTTGCGGTATAAGTAAGGCACTGATGGATGAAATCATGTACATTAATGGAGAATAGTATACTTGTGGGGGTACTTACGAAGGTAATTAAATTGTAAACCAAATGAACTAAAACCTCTGCAAGCCGACACTGGCCGAGCCTGCTTGCTCGTGCTGCCACCATTGATTCGACAAAGATTGTACAAGATATAAAAAAATCGCAAAATCTGAAACACGAATTATCTTTTTCGCTCGAATCGCTTTCCTGAAATTTACTCTATCGCTGTAATTTTTCAGGTTTTTTTACGGCGTACGTCTTCGGAAAAAATCCCTTTTTTTTTTCTCCTGGCACAAGGGTGAAAAGTATATGTAAAATTCTTTAACGTATCGTAGGATGCTGTTGCGGTTCATGCAGAAGATAAAATTTCTACCTGCGTGTAGCTTTTGATGTGGAATAAACTTGAATTACCAATTCCAAAATGATCTAATTAGAGTATACTGTTCATGCAATTTTCATTACATTTCCGAATTACCCAGTAGTAGATACAGTGTATTTATGTAATTAGATATAGGAAACATATTCCTTGTATCAGGGGGAAGACAGTCGTTTTGAATATGGCTCGTCTCCCAGCGTATGATTACCACATGTAAATTATTCGGGTTTGAGCATTAATCCGATGTCGCGCCAATTAGAGGTAGGCGAGGTAAATTCTACGATGAATACAATCACGATTTGAATGATAACCTGGATGGCGATAATTAATTTCTATTAAGTTGTAGTTATTTGTTTGTATGTGTGCATCATTATGTAACTTCCAGCGCTATATAGGTTTATTTTTTATACAAAAAATGAGTGAGTAGGTACATTTATTAAATTATACGTTTACAGGTAATAAATATAGTTAATAAATTATATTATAGGTAATAAATATTTATATGTCTAGAAAGCTATAAAAATAGTCAATATAGTATTTATTGTAAGTTTTTTGTCAATGAATTAAGTTCACAAAGTTAGGTTGTTTATTCTTAATTAACTATACTGGTAGGTAATAATTTTAAGTATTGAGTTTTTTATGTACTAACTACCTTATTACTTTAGAGAATTTATATAAACAAATTTTGTATTTGTATTCAAAAAGGTTTCCTATAAAAACATGCCGACTCGGAGATCGCAACGGCCGGTACTTGTTCAAGTATACAAAGAATCAATTTCGAGCTGCGATGAGGTTGAACCGGATTCCGACAAATACCAAACTGATCTTGATTGGGCACGCACACGCTCGTTTCAAATGCCCATATTGCCGTTTTGTCACGTCTGTGTTCTACACTCATTATTCACGAATGCTTTATCTGGACTTTGTACTCAGGTATCTCGGTTTATTACAAGGAAACGGCATTTAAACTGCAGAAGATCTGCAGTATCATGTAATTTTTACAGACCTGGTGGACGTTGTCATACGAATACATACGAATAACATAAGAATAACATAAGAATAACATAAGAATAACATACGAATAATATAAGTCCAAGAAAGATAGTGTATCTGACCATTCGAAACGAAATAGATTAGTAAAGTCCTAGTTATGTCAAGAATTATTGATGATATTTAGCAGTTTTGCGGTACGAAAATCATATTTGGGAATGTTCCTTTAATCCTTTGGGAAAAAAAAGTATCGTTATTTAATTCAAAGGTAAATCTTAATAATAATAAAAGTCTTTTCCTTCAATTTAGATCAAAAACCGAACCTCCGGAGACTTTAAAAGGGTACAGGAACGTACCTTTAATTTAGCGTCCGAACTTAATCTTCGACAATCTTAACCCTCCTTTTAGGACGAAACTCCCTTAAGTTTTCAGTGATAACTTTGATGTCTGGTAGCCAATTTGCTCGGAAGTTTTCGGTTCATACATAAAGTGAGGGCCGGTAAGAAGTCTCGGAATTTGTTATCCTACTTTCGTCGAGTGATAGAGCCAATATAATGGGAAGGCAACGTGAGGAACGCTAGATAAATTTTGTTATTTGTTGCAGAAGTTAGATTTCTTCGTTCACGAACGTTTATTTTTTCAACTTTTTTTTATAAATTTAGTTAGAAGTTGTATGTAATTAATTAAGATTGATAGCTAAACGTTTGACTTAATAAACAGAATAAAATTAAGTTACTTGGTTTAAGGTAAAAAATTCTTAATAGTCTTCTAAAAGTTCTAAAAGAAGTTCTAAATGGTCCTGAAAGAGTTCTAAATGGTTTTGGACTTTTCTTGTAAATCCGAAACAGTTTCTAAATAGTCATGAATTGGTTCTAAATGATATTGGACAATTTATTTATTGGACAATTTTAAGTGATTCTGGATAGTTCTATAAATAGCATTGAATAGTTTAAATAATTGTATTTGAAAAATTACCAACAATTACGTACATACTCGTAAATAATTAATTTATTTTAGTCTTTAATGACAAGGAGATTTTAATAAATTAAGTAGTTGGAGGAATATTTGAATAATTACTATCACATTGGTCTTCTTAATTTCGAAACGATGAATTAGGGATGTTAAAAGAGCATTACCAATTCCCTGATCGTTTAAATTTTAATATATGCAGATGAGATTCTCGACACTTAGGTCAACTGTAAAACGAACTAAAGAACTTTAGATAATTAATCTTAAATTTTAATGAACAGCCTGTATTAAAATAGACTTGGTCTATTTTGAAAGCTTACCAAGCCGGTGATTTTGTGATTAATTAATTAAAATACCTGCTGCCATTTTAGTTTTATTAGTTTGGAGATAAGTTGTATGGATAAGTTGTTGGAGTTAAGTTGTATGTATACTCAGTTTGAATTGAAATTATTGAAAGTTCAAAAATTCGTTGATATTTTGCTAACCAATATCGTCAATTCCAAACTATTGGAATTCAGTGTACCTCCGGGACGCGATGTTTCGAACTGACAGAAGAGTTTTTGGGTCGAATGTCCCCGAGCAAACTTCAGTTTCCACGTTTAATACCTTTGACGGACTTTGCTAAAATGTAATTTTACTTTGAGCTCAACATACGGTCGAACATATTTCCGGAGATCAAACGTTTGGGCATTGATTCGGTCAGTTCATCAAAAGAAGTTGACCGCACTCTGAGACATATAGCTATCAATCTATATTGCATATTGTTTTGGCCCAAGGCATTAGCGGTCGATTCAATTTGCATACTTATACATAGTTTTTAAAAACAATTCAGAAGTCAGCTCTCGTCGATAAAAATTAAGGTGATATAAATTTCTAAATAACAATTTCTAGATATAAATAGTAAAATTCCTATATAGGAACATACTACGTATAATTTTGAATCAATTACCGTTACAATTATTAAATAAATAATAGATTGCGTGTTGCGTAGCACGGTATATTTCAGAATTAAAATAGTTACACTAGATATTCATCAACGTCGTGCGAATGTTTATCGTTTGCGTGCCCCATTCTTATCGTTCTTTTAATGTTAGTTATGGTTAGGTACCTCAAGTACACTGATACGTAGATTTGTTAATAAAATTATGCGTATAAACAAATGGCTTACTTATATTTGTTTTAATTATTACTAATTTGAGCCCAAAAATAAAGAAGTCTCTGTAAATAATTGCCTAATAATCACTGTCAAAATTAGAATAACTAGGAAAATTTTAAACAATAGTTATTTAATTTTTAGTTATGTTTTTTTGTAAAAACTGCATTATAGATCCTAATATGAACATGCGTAGATAATATGTTTTTTTAATTTAATTTATCACCATAAATAAATGAATTTAATTAAACTTTTTAATTACCATTGGATTTTATTTCGAGAGTTAACTTTAATAGAAAGTTAATATAACATTAACCATGAAGATCATAGCATTCCACATTTATGTATTATATTTTATCACTTTGATGCTAATAGAACCAAATTTGGTAAGTTTTGGATTTTAAATTATATATGTACCTAATAAATATTAAATAATCAGTGTTAAAGTAGAAGTAGAGAGTACTGTTGGTATTTCTTATTTCTTATATTTTAGGCTCGTGTCGTACTACGTTTTAATACAGGACTTAGCGATTCCAATGAACTTGTCTGCCCATGTGCAAAAATAGAAATGCCAGTATGCGGCACAGATGGGCATGTTTATGACAACAAATGTTTGTTAGAATGTCAGAAACTTGTTCACCCGGATTTGGAAGAAACGAAAACCTGCATTTTTGCACCGTAAATACAACTTTCCAAAACAAGCTTTAAATTATCAACAGGGTGTTTCAAAATCCCAACATCCTGTAGACTTTTTGAATACATTGTCAAAAAATAATAATGCAGGAAAGTAAAGAATACCTAATGACCTATAATTTCTTTCATGCTGAACACACCCCTCATTCGAGCTCATTTTACGAGTAAACGGCTTTTACATCATCTTCCTCTTTATCACGCGCTCGCACAACGAAACAAATTTATATTTCCCGAATCGCGATATAACGAGATCGAAACAAAGCCTTTTAACACTGTTTTCGCGAAGAAGAACGGGATAAGTCACGTCACAATGTAGCTTCATTGTTGCGAAAGTTATGTGTACATTTATCCACTGTGTGCGTATAACATTCAGTGAGTAATAGAGGAGAGAGAGAACTTATTACATTTCTTACATGCTGAGATTACGATTATGCAGTAGGATGTGTTGGTGAAGAAACAAATAAAACTTCTTCTTTTGATGTTACTTGTGACATACAATGTACTACTCAGTGATTGCCTCTACGTGATTAAAAAAATCGAGAGTTATCAAAGATAAATAAGCGTTGTTTGAACAAAAAAAAACTGTCAACTCTAGATTAGATTAGTCAATTAGCTTTTATCGATCCTGCCAATATAAATAAAACAAAGCAAATTAGGGATGAAATAACACTCGAAAATACAAATAGAACACGAAGGGAATAAGGATGATCCGTTCGAGAAATGTCATCGGCATTCGTCGAACCCTAATACACGACTGGTAAACGATTCCATAAGTGATTCACAAGTTATCAAGCCTCTTGCTTTCGCTGATAAGTTCAAGTTTCGCACAAATGTGCTCTCCATTCAGGTGTCGGCAGTTGTTATGACATCCGGCGAGCGGAGCTCGAATCGTTATCAATTCTGATTGGGGATGATGTGCTGCCTGTTTGATCTCCATTCTTATCGGGTTGATGCTACATTTCATTGCGGTTGAACGTATTACAAACACTACAAGCCGCTATAATCCCTTTAATGGAGAGGGGTAGGATGTGATATGTGCGGTTTTTCAGGGTGATGTATTATGAATAAAAATTATTCATTAGAATTCATACCAATTTGCAGAAATTATTCCAACAAAAAACGAATTTTTTTAGAGTAATAAAATTGTTGGTAACACCTTTTGTGTTAACTATTTATGTAAATTTAATTGCACAATTTTTTTGCAACAAGTATAGGTTTTGTATGCACTCAATGCGGTATATAATTATCAGCAAACGCACAGGAAAAAACTGTAGTATTTCCCACAAATTAAAAAAAATTGTACCGGTTCGAATTTCAAATGGAAACTTCCATCTCTATATTCGCAACGCGTTATCGCTCTCGTTGATTACGTAGTCTCGGATTTTATCCTCGTATTACTCTTTGGGCGTTATGAATTTCCTGCAGTAGGTACGCCAGGTAAAATTATATTATATTTTATTAGCGGCCACCGGAGAACTGAACTTTTATAATAAATATCACGGTAGTGGCGTCGTTGGATGTTTTAAACTTTGTTATATTTGTCTCTGCCGTCCTGAAATGCAATATTTTCAGTTAAAAATCACTTTTACGAGAAGGAAGTTGTTTTTTGTGTTAAAAATTTGTTAAGGCTAGTGTAATAGGTAAAAGAAAATCTGTTCACGTAGAAAACAGTCTCAAAAATTTCAAACAAATATGAACAGAAATAGTAGTATAGGTAATGATGTTTGTTGTACATTTTTGAGCTATAAAGGAAGCGTATAGAGCGTACTATAATTGTTTTTGTTTTCATGCAAACATCTAGGAAATTCCATTATTTGTAAAGCTCCGAACTTCACAAAACTTTTTAAGAACCACTTAAAGTTAGATATATTGAGCATTATTCTAGAAAATTAATCTGTGCTCAACTTTATTAAATAATTTTTGTGTTATAGGGAAAATTGTTAAACTTTGCACGAATTTTCGTTTTCATTTAAAGACGACTAAACTCTAAACTATGAAATTTGTAAAAATTTTCAACAACATATTAGTCAAATGAATTATCGTAAAGTCCGGTTTAGATGATACGATAAAACGTAACGATTTGTCTGCAACGACAAAACGTTGCATGCAAAATGGAACGTGTAAACCAGAGATCATTACGTTTTGTCGGAATTGAAGCCAGGTTGGAGGTTGGTGCGATTTTCAATCAATTTTTCTAGATCGCAACGAGTCTGTGCGTCTAAACGATGACTCCATTTTATCGTTACAATGTCACTTTTGTTGTAGAGGTAGTACGGTCCTTAAATAAGTTATTTAGTCTAATAGGCAGAACTGTTGGCTTAATTGAGCCAAAATAAAGCGAAAATAAAGAATAATTTTTTTTGATATCTCGCTTCGTTTTCGAGATATCGATACTTGTGTACTATTGTAAAAAGGGCAAAAAGCATAAAAGACCATAAAAGTATCTTATTCATTATATGATATAACATACGTAAAACACAAAGCTAAACTACTGATTTTGGAAAAGCCTGGTTGGAGTAAAAAGACGGAAGGTGTAAACGGTACTCCCGATTTTCGACAAAACGGTACATTTTGTCGTTGCAGACAAATCGTTACGTTTTATCGTATCATCTAAACCGGACTTAAGTCATGGAGTCATGAGTATAAGTCAAGAATTATGAATGTCGGTATAGGCAAAATTTCGAAACACCGTCCAACGATTCGCAGGAAAATCTAAGGATGTATTTTATTTCAATTGATATATACGGTAGAAAAATGTTAAACGTTTCATATTTCTAGAAAATAAATTCCAACTCATTCGAGAATTTAGTAACTAAAAACATGACGTCGGAAATAGGAAACATTTTACTTTAATTGTGAGATAAATTATCTTTTTCGTTGTACAATCCAGAAACTTTATTCCCAGTAAATTTTTACGAAAAAAATACTGAAAAGACCATTCATTCCTCGAAAGTTCCTAATATATTTCATAAAACTCCCCGTCCAACTTCTCTCCTATTCCGCTACAAACATCGTCTTTCTTGAGCGTTTTATTTAGCATTCGACCACGTTGTGTCCGCAAACATCGCGCAGCACTGCTTATAGTATTGTGTTGCTATTTATTAGCAAAGTTCGCGAACAATATCACATTATTCCGTAAACCTAACAGCCAGCGCAACAAAAACTTTCCGCTTTGACAAAAGACTCTAATATCGTGGTTACGGAATACATAATTCAACCGCAATTTATTGAAAATGCCAATCTATATTTGCCGCTAAAATTGTTAAGACTTATCGCTTTGCTTTATTAAATTTTAATCTCGCAACGAGCAATGATTTATCTAGAAAGTAGACTAAAAATAGAAAATGTTATTTGTATAGAAAATTCTTTATACTGAGTTATTAATTTTTTACAATAGATTTGTGCAGGTTAAAAATATGAAAAATATTTTATTATTAGAAAAATTAAATTAAATGGTATTTCATAGGAATTCATTCAATAACAATGAAATTACTGTATTATTCGTGTAAGACACTTTATTAAATTCAACGAAATCGATTTTATAGACAAAAAAGATAAACAACAAGTAAATGTGTGTACAGATCTATGTACTATGTATGTACCTACCTGAATAGGTACATGATAACATAAAAGAATAATGAAACTTACATTTTAAATTGATTTTCGACCTGCCAATTTTACCTTTAATCTTTCTGTTGGCATTTTCTCTACTTCCTTATTGATGACTAAAGTTTCCAACACAAACACACGAACTTTTCAGTTCAACAAAATTAATTGCATCGCCCTATCCTTGAAAAAAACTTTAAATTTTTTCATGTCTCGCTCATTTCTGTTGCGAAAAACAAAATCGACAAAATACATTGAGAAAAATGATTGTGAAACCAGGAAGTTTTTACAAGAAATCAATAAATTAATGCATCCTATGTATTGTAGAAAAATATATTTCTTTTTCGTTGTGAATTTATTGAAATTTTCAGGTAAAAAAACATACTTTGTAATTTTTCATTTACAATTCAGTTACAAAGAAATATACATAATTCAATAATTTATTTAGGTAAACATTGAAAAATTAAATTCGTGAATGTCGTGTTGGAAAATTGATTTTTAAATTTTAAAGTAAATTCCCTGTATACTAAAATTCATTTATTTTAATAATTACAATTACAACTTTTTCACTCTTACAACTGCTATTTTAATGATCTTTGTTTAACTCATAAAATATACCTTATTGCGTTTGTATATTCCTATATGGATACCTACCTTGATATTTTAATGACTATTGAGAGATGTATAATTATAAATTATTTCATTGTATAATTTCGATTTTATATTTATAAATAGATCAAATATGTAGCTGTATCGAAACAATATTTTTTATCAATAATTGTGATTTGGTTAATTTAATTATACTGACATAACGCTAATTTAATCATTACCCTTTAATTTAAATTTCACAAAGGGATGTGCAAAATATTTTACTAAAAAATTAATTTAAATTATTTGATTTATGATATAATGATAGTGTATCTTTAAAAAATGTTTCTTTCCTTGAACACTCGAGTAGTACCTACTAAGTTGATAATAGTGACAAGTAGCATTGAAATTTTGTATTTCATTCCATTTTATCAGGCTTAATTTCGAAAATTACTGTTTACAAAATCACACTACATGGTACATTGAGATAACATTGGAAGCTGAATGTCCATCAAACCCAACACAATATTCCAATTAAAGCGATATTTACAGAAGCGGTTGTTTAATGGATGAACAAATTAATATTTCCCACATAAGGCAGATGATCATACACATGATCGGTATAGATGTACCTATTCGTAAAAGGAATGTAAAAGGAATAATTTAGTTTTGCTTTTTTTGAAACAGAGCATAGTGAGTAAATTTCCCGATAAAATCCTACTACCAATCTGAAGAATACAAGCAAAAAATCGGCATTATGGTTACACAAGTATAAATTATGCTTCGTGCATCCCAAGTATGCTTTCTGAATACAAAAAACCTTAATATCTTGTTTAGTTGTATAAAAGTTTCTGAGTTTTATTACGGAAAATGCAGGAATAAAAAAGAATCCGGATAAAAAACACGAAAACGTT